ATTTGGAAAAGGACTGGCGTGCAGGGAAGGGTCTGCAGCAACGCAGCACGAACGTCACAAGGGAGCGCTCTAACCCAGCGAACAAGGTCGCCGAAGGTGAATATGAAGGCATCCCGCTGTTGCATGACCAGCGCAGTTGGGAAACTATCTCGATCCCAAAACTCGGCGGGAGCAGGCAAACACTGAATGGACAGGGCTGACGCAGGCAAACGCATCATGGATTTTCACTCAAGGGCTCTGTATTGTCGGACTGCCCTTGAGAGCCCTCTGGGGGCAGATGCTATGCATCTTTGGCATAGCTTATGCTCAGCTGTGATTCCTACACCCCTAGAGGTACCAGGCTTAGGAGGGAAGGGCGTAGATCGGTCATACAGGGATCAAGTCGATGGTGTTTGCACGATGAAGATGGACCACAGCTCGGGGCCCGCCCAAGCGGAACCAATGCACTGGAACGGGAGCCTCTGACGACGAAGAGGATTCGCTGGAAGAGCTAGGCGAAGCATCCTCTGCAGACTGCAACACCTCAGATTCGGGCAGACTGAGGGGCGCCGCGCAATGTTTATCCCATGCAATGTCCATGTTGCGAAGGTCCTGCCATTGCAAACTCTCAGTGCCCTTTTGCCTGGACGCGATGTGCAAAAGCTGAAGTAGCTTGGATTTGGAATCCGCAGCAGTGGCAACTTTGTCGTCTGCATAGTGCTGGCGCATACCTCTTTGCTTGGCTGGAACATGTTTGAGATTCACGGACTCGACCCAGTTGCCAAGGTGAAGGGCCAGGGAGTCAGGGCACCTGCAGACCTCAGCCACCGTCGGTAGGAGCCTTCGCAAAGAGCAGCGGCAGACAGACTGCACATCCGAAGAGGCTGGCCCTAGACGCCTAAGAACGTCTCTCAACAAATGCACGAACTTGGGCAGCGCCATCCTCCTATGTGTCCATGTACACGGACCCTGAAGGCCCTGCTCACCCACAGAGATGTCTGGCATAACGAAGGTCGCGGATGGGCAGGCTGAAACCAAGTTGTGATGCACCCTGAGGGCTTGCTGAAACACATTACCAAAACCAAGGAAGGAAATGGGGCAAGCCCATTTAAAGGGTGGTCTGGTCCCTTGGATCTTAGACTTTCCACGAATGCAGGTCGCCCATACGAAGGGGCCTTGGATGTGCAAACTGACACTGTGCTGCATGTGCGCGAACCGGAGGCAAGCGACCAGCGAGAAGAGGTCGCCAGTCGGCACAAGGCATACACGTCGGCCACCGTGATGGGTTCTTGCTGTGCTGCAAGGTATCCCTCCGGCAAACAATTCCATGATGCAACGAAAGGATCATGAAGCGGGAATGGCACCCCGACATGTGCCCTCCACCAGAGTAACTGCTGGAACAGACCCCTTGCCACGGTGGGGCCACGAGGGGCCTGGTCGGCAAAGAATGCATAAGTGGCTTCGAGGGATGGCTCAGTTGCATCAAAAGGTTCAGGCATAAACCCTCGAGCAAAGGTCCTCCATCTACGCCATGCGGCTAAGTGCTCTCTCAAGGAAGCTACCTCACTGCGTGCTATTGCGTTGCAGAACACGGACTTTGCACTCTCACGTTGGCTGTCCACAAGCGGGCTCCATCTAAGGCCACGATTGCCCATGTGCACAAATATGATCCAACATGCGTCAACGAGGGCTGACTTATCCTCTGCGATTGGCGCCCTAGGGCGTGGCCGGCTTTCCACTGAATCAAAGATGGGCCTGTGGCAAGTGATACGGGCTCAGGAGGAGATGCGCTGGCCGCGCTGGCAACTGGTCCTTTGTGCAAAGAAGCAATGCGAATACATGTTTCAGCCACCTCCTTGCGGATGTCAGGTGCAACAGCCTGCAATTCAGCAGAAGTCAAGCCCTTAAGATCGAAGTCGTCCTGAAAGCCATGCTGCCTTAGCAAGTCAATGTGGCCAGCGGGGATTACATCTAGCAAGCGCTTTGAAAAGGAGGGCGCTTTTGGAGCTGCTGGGACCGATGCGGCACTCTCGCCTCTAGTCAGAATAGGGTGAGGGCCATGGCGCGAGGAGTGCTTATGTTTACGCATGACGAGAATGGGCAGGCCAGCGTCAAAACCTATTAGCCTTGACTCAGGAGGAACTGGACACAAGAAAAGCTGGTGCCCACAATTTTCCTCCTTGAGCCAAAATGGCCTGCCGGTCCGCGACACAAGATCTGCCACGAACCCGAACAACGAGGCATAAGAAGATGCCCCGCAGAAGTGGCAATCAGAACCCCATCAGCCTACAGAAGGTGAACACCGATGAACTCTGGCGCCGCCAGACATCTCGGCGGGAGGGTGGGCAAGAAAAGCTGGTGCCCGCAATTTTCCTCCTTTGAAATGAAAATGCAGCGTCGTCAGAAGAGTGTGCAAGCCAAACCCGACCAGGCCAACGCACTTCACATGTGAACATGAATGGGAAGCTGGGACATGAGATGCACAGGTCACATTGGCTTCAGGAAGCAAGGCTCAGCTCAGCAGCAGGATGTCAAGCAAGTCACGGATGCATGCAGCAATGATGACACAAGCCAAGGCTGGTTTTGCATTTCTTTTGTCAGACGGCTGTTTGAGGCTCTGATAGGTCCTCGCCGACACGGGTTCTGGCTCGAGCCGCGATGGCTCCAACCTCCTGCAACAGCCTTTGGCCGTCAAGCCATCCAGCCAGTAGACCCTCAGAGCCTAAAAGGAGCTGTTGCAAACGCTTGTTAAACTCAAGGATCTCATCTTTCCCGCCAATTTTTGACAGGATTGCATCCTTATCCTCAGGCCGCGAGGCACAGCAGTCCTCCACCCGCAGAGAGCTCAGACGCCTCGAGTTTTTCTCAAGGACCTCCGGCGAGTGCAGGATGACGTGTTGATCCAGTCGGCAGCTGCGGGCTTGCACCAGCTCGGCTACACACCAGGCCCGTGAAAACACATTGAAATCTCGGTCAATGGCCACAACTTGCAGAAAACCATGCACGTCGCAGCGATGCAGGTGCAGCATCATGCTGTCAAACTTGTTGAGTTCACATTGGATCGGATGGTCATTGAAGTCTTTCGGCGTGCTGCAGTCACACGAGGGAAGCACCTCGGCAGTGACGGTGTCTTGGACGCCCATGGCATTGCCACAAATGCTCGCATGCTGGTTGATGCAGAAGGCGCAGATCCAGTAGTTCCAGTGAAGGGACCCGCAATCCGAAAGCCTCTCCTTCAGAGTTTGGTTCCCAGCTTTGCCAACTTTGTCAGCTGATTGCATGATCTTACTTGTCATCGCTAACATGCAATAGGAGGATGCAATGCTTTTGATATCTATTGCTGCTTATGCTTGAGCGTGCCAAGAGAGCCTGTCCTTAAGAGCTTCTTCCTGTTTTGTGGAGAGTTGCTGGGCGATGCTGTCCCAGCGCTTCATGCCCAGGCTGTCTGCCACCACCACTGCAAGCAAGTCACTGAAGCGATTCTGCCAATGGTGAGTCACCATGCGTGGTGTGCCGGTAGATCTCCGAGGCAATACCTCGGCCAGTGCCTTCCCGAGATTTCCGCATCGGGACTCGGGGATGATGGCGTGCCGGACAACGTCGTTGGTCGTCGAGCGCAAAGGATCGAAGTGGGGCATGAGATTCTCCGATCCCAGTCGCTTGTGAAAATCTAGGAGCTGGCCAACAGCAACGCGCCTGTCAGCAATCTCAGCAACCTTCTCTGCCCAAGCGCACTTGTCGCAGCTTACCACGTCATTTGCCTCACCATCCAACTGTGACCGCCGCGGCAGTCCAACCTTCTTGCCACAGGTGCAGCCCAACTCCTCGGTGAGCTCAGAGTCGACTGCAGATTGAGCTGCATAGCACGTGGGTATGCATCTGGGCAAATGAAGGGAACTATTGACAAGCAACAGCAAGCACACGGTGTTTCCCATCGTGTCTACCATGGCACCATACTGGAAAGCGTCGTTTGTCCACTGCGCTATGATCACCCAGGACACACCCCAGCTTGCGATGTGCCATCCCATTGAGAAGCTGGCCAGCACAAGGGCAATCTGCGCCTTGCGAATTACCCTCATAGCAAACTTCGCCTCTTTGTGCAGCTGCAACAGGACGCCATCCACAGCCTCCAGCCTCAGTGCTGCTTGTAGCACGTGCAGAGGGACAGCATAGGCCCGCCAGATAAGGAGCGTGATTAAGCCGATACTGAATGTCGAGAGTATGCTGACAACCCAAGAGGCGATGGGCGGTGTGAAGTTCATGGCCGCGAGGGCGAAGAACATCCAAATGTTGAGCCGCGACATCCACAGAATGGATCTCGAGCACGGCAAAGGCTGACCATAAGTTTCTTCAAGAGCTCGCAACCTCTCCACAACTAACTGCAGGCACCAAATGTCACTGAGGAATGCTGCGCCAGTCCCATACGCAGATGCGAATCCCGCCAGTGGGTCGTGTTCATATGCCATGTCCCGAACGTTGTCGCCATCAAGATCAGTCCCGTGACAGGCGTCAAATGCTGTACCAAGTGTTTTCAAGAGCTGGGCAAGGTACATGTACAGCACGCATCGTATGGATTCCCTGACGTAAGGCGAGGCAAAGTGATCCGCCAACAGCATGAAAGCAACGATCGGAGCAAGTGTCCAGCTGAGAACTGCTCGAATCGTGAACTGAAACCAAAAATCCTCGAAGCTCAAGCCCCACGCCGTTTGCATGGTCACGTCAAATTCGCTGCAACCCTGGTGCCCACCAAAAAAAATCCATGGAATGAGTGTGACCACAAGTGTAGCGGACAGGATGAACACCACCTGAATCTGAAGATATCTCAGGTATTCACTTGCCGTCAAAATGGCCCCTGATTGGGTTGGCGTTTGCTTTGCCTTACTAAAATTGAATCAGTATCAGCCTGCAGGATCCGTACCGGGTAAGGCGCTGGGGCTACTTGGCTGCTCAGCGTGGCACGGCCAACGAAGTAGACCCAAACAGAGAAGATTATGTACCTGGGCTGATCTAGCGAGGGCCACAGAGGGCTGACATGCTGCCACAACTACTAGAAATCATCCAGGTGCCCAAGGAAGGAGTAGACAAAGTAGAGGGCCAGCACGACCAGCGCCAGAATCAATGCCAGGGCCCAGCGGCACTTTTTGGACAGCCCAAAGGTGCGGAAAGCCATGGCTGCGACAAACTCCAGGTCAAACAAACCGTCTTGGAGTAGCAAGCGTCGCCCAAAGAACTCCCGCTGTGTATAAAAGTAGGATGAGCTTCAAAGGAACATAAGCCTGGAGCGACCAACTTGATGGTGACATGGCTGGTAATGCTCCCAACATCAGAGATCATATGAGCAAAGCCGAAGAGTAAGGTGCATTATGCACTTGAGGCTAGGGCGCATGACCTTCTTTTTCCATAGCCCTGGATGTGCCATCCTTCCAGAACTCACGCCCCAGGAAGAGCGTTTAGGCTTCAGCAGTCTTCGAGCCAAAGACATTGGGCTGTTTGGGCCATCCGTGCTGTCTACAGCTCTATTGAGCATGTCCAAGAGCGCGGCCGGCTGGAAGTTTTGCAAGGAGCTCACTCGTCCTTTGACCTTGGCAACTACATGCAACCAGTGAGTTGACCTGCTTCGGGATGCTGCTTGCGGCACAAGAGTTGTCAATATAAGAAGCAGGCCTTAAACGAGTACTGAAGGCTTCTGGGATACAAAGCTTGACCTGCAGCTAACTAGAATAGATGGCCCATCTTTGCGGAGCTGCTGTGCGTCAGGCAGATGTGGTTCGAGCGGTTCAAGCAACATGAGGCCTTGGGTGAAGTGTGACTTAGGCCGGACCTGCAGCTTCCTGCAATCCTGACCGGCATGGAATGCCTGCAGAAAGCTCTCAGCATTCTGACGCTCAGCAGGCAGCAGCAGGCTTCCTAGGTGAGGCGGCGAGGCGTCTGAGATTATCTGAGGGCGGTGCGGCTCGTACCACCCTCCGCACGCCCACTTGAGGCTACCATCGCTCCATCAATTTAGCCCCAGCTCTGCTTGATTCAGGCTGAAGTGGTTGCACAAAGGCCTGGAAGGATTCCTGGAGCTCAGGTGCTCAGGTCTTGCCTACAAATTCAGGCCCGCTGTCCAGAGAGGCTTGTTGCCTTGTGAGCCACCATGAGACCTCTCAGAAGTCTCATCTCTCCTGGCACCAGCATCTTGCAAATTCCCGCAGCAGCGCCTTTGCAGCCACCTCTCTCTCCCCAGATGTCGGCTATTGCGGCTATTGCTGGTGAACCGGAACCAAGACCTACTGCTGAACTTGTGCCAATGCAGCTTCTCGCATTTTGCGAAATCTCTGCGGAAACAAAAGAAAGAAAATGAGTACTTGAATCCGTTCCTTGACCATTCTGTTCAGCGCTGCTTTCAGGGATGCATTGAAGACCTGCCGAGAACACCCATGTACTGCAGCACTGCAGAAAACCTTTCAGGGTGGCAATGCTAAAAAAACCCTGCCTGCCCTTCAATGCCATACACGAAGCCCTGGAGGCCGTCCGCTTTGTAGACTTGCATGGCCATCTGAAACATGTTCAGCGGGGCGACTTCCCCGTCTTTTGTTGCACCCTGCCGGGTTTTGGAGCGCTTGGTCTGCGCCTGGCACATCTGTTTCACCCGTGTCAGAGGGTAGCAGACCGTGGATGCAATCAGTTTGCTGCCAAGGCCGAGCCAAAAAGCTTGGCCAGCTGTCAGGCCGATCCGGACCTGAGCCTGGTGCTGTTTGGCACTGAGATTTACACGCCTTAGCCAGATTTCTTTGATGGTGTCATAGATCGTGTCTTGGATGGATGCATTTACAGATAATAACAGGCAAGGCAAGAGGCCCTTGTAGAAGGCTCCAAGGCCATCCTCTTGATACATGGCTACTGCAGTGGCCAAATTACCACGCTGTACCGTCTGCGTCTGCATCCTCGTGGAATGATTCTGCAGTGGAAGGGTGGTGAGCTGCATCACTGCTCCTGTGATAAGAGTTTGCAGGGGAAGGCAGTTACAGCTGGAACTCACCTCTCAACTCTCAACTGAAGGCCTGCCGAGGTAGCAATGAGCATGTTGGCGCGATAGGTGACGCGGCCAATGACACTTCGCCATAGGGCCATGAAGGACTCATAGAAGTAGTAGTACACAAAGTTGAAGACAAACTGGTCTACGCAGGTGCTGGACCAGCCAGGAGCCCATGGGGCCAACAAGGCCCACGGCCCCTCCTTGTGCCAGGTGTAGGACAAGGCATGAAATGTATTTGCCATTGCCTGCGTCAGGTCGCAGAATCAAACACAATGTCTTCCTCCATGGTTCCATGTTGTGGTTCTGCAGCGATTGATCTCCTGCCTTGTGTTTCTCAGCGTCATCGTCTTCGTCTGTGCTGGCCTTGCCTGCAAAAGCCTGCACCTCAAGGAATGAATTGGAAACAGGACAAAGAAGGTAAGAAGAGTAAGATACAGTAAGGAAGCAGGGCTAACAGGCCTTGGTCTTGGTGACCTCCAAAGGGTAGAGAGTTGTCGTAGAGAAGAGGGCACCCACACCGCCACCAAGGGCCTTTACAAACCCTTCGATGCTGGCATCCATGGTGGCGAGGTCCCTTCTAAGAATCTACGAAAACTGGACAGTGGTGGGCTCATGATGCATGACAAGAGATCATGGTCCAGGCCAAGTCGTGGCTACTGTACCAGTTTGACGAATGTGCAATCTTCAGCTTGTTTATTTGAGGCGAAACCGCAGCTGAAAAGCAAGCTGAAGATGGATGCCCCAGCTGGTGGAAAGGTTGGAAAGAGGCATCAACAACACGGAGGTTTTGCTCGTCCATGGCAGCTTGTGCGCGGGTGAAACAGCAGCCCACGGGTTTCGTAGAGCCTGAAAGGCAAGGCGCTCCTCGGCTCCCTCCCAAAAAAGCTCCTCCCATCTCCCGATTCTCCCGTTTCTCCCACTGCCTAGTCCTTGGTCGCCTGCACGGCGTCTGCGCCCGCTGCGCCCGGCTCCTTGCAAAAGAACTCCACAGATGCAGGGGCTGCCGACGCTCGTATGCAGACCTGCCCCTGCGGTCGGCCCTTGACTTTGAGCAGTCCATTCCTCAAAACAAGAGCAGGACAAAGCTGGACCGGAAAGGGGTAAAAAAGGGTTGCTGAATCCAAGCAAGGCCGAGCATCTCCAAACGAGTTCTCTTTACTTCGCACTCGATCCGAAAACACCTTGGAATACATGTCAATAAATCAGAAAAACGAAGCCGCCGCATGATGATGCATGATGAGCATGCATTTTGCCAAATGCAGGCCAGGCCTTGATTGCAACTGTTCGATTTCCTCGCTGATGGACTGGAGGCACTTGTTGTAGGCCTCCAGTCTCACAATGCTGCCTTGAAGGAGGCTCGTTGTGTCGTTGCCTCATCCAGCTGCGCATCTGGTTTGGCTGCGTCACGCTTGAAACCTGAGAAAAAAAGGCGTGTCGTGGCAGTTCCAGCTTCGGTGACCCTGCCTTGGCTCAGCAACTGCCGGGCCTGGAAGGCGGTCCTGTCAAGCTTGCTGTCAAATGCTTCTTGGAATTTCGTGGGTTGGAGCCGTCCTGGGCTGGTCAGAGAACTTGCGGTTGAGCTGTGGCGCCAGGTTGCCACCTGAAGACCTGATAAAGCTTCGTATCTCTTGAATAAGGAGCGCCTTTCTGAAGCCTAGGACTAGTTGCCCGTATCAGCTCCCCCAAGAACGCCGCAGGCGCCGAGCTCCACCACGAAGGGTGCTGGACTGGCGCTGCCTTCAACCCGACAGCATCTATCAATGAATCAAGCACGCTGCACGCCGCTTTCAAGCCCTGCAATCCCAGCGTGCCTTTCCACAAACTCTGAAGACCTCGCAGCGTACGCAAGGAGAGCGCTTGATCTGCTTCAAAAAAAAAGATACTTCCAAAACCAAGGGGCAGCAGCGGTGCTCCACGATTCAGGCGTGCATCCGCTGAGGCAGTGCGCGGCACCGCGGGGCCCTTTGTGCGGGGACTTTCTCTTGCTTGGCTGGTCTGTCCTGTGTTTTTTCCTATCTGCCTATCCCATTGTGGCGGCCAGGCTGCCCCTGATCTCGCTTGCCAACTTCTTGCAGAGTGCAGCGACCTCCTGCTTGCAAGTTCGAGGCTTTACTTCGCAAACCCTGCACATGTAGCCGACGCAATTTTATTTGACTGCCTGGGCGCCCTGGTGGCCAGCTGATCCGCAGTGTCCTGTGACATTGCCAATAGACAAGAGCTCTGCCGCGGCGCAGTGCATGGTCGGGGAACCTCAACAGCATTGCCTTTGATGCTGCCGCCATCAGCCCCTGAGAGGAGTTTACACAAAGAAATCCACAAATAACGGAAGCGTGGAAGCTCAAAGAAGGCACCTTCTGGGCCTGGCTTCACCTCGGGGATCTCGGGGATGTAGAGACCCAAGGGCAGCGCACCGGGAGGGGGCGGAGAGCTCCTGCCCAGGGAGCTGCCCAATGAAAAATCGAAAACCAAAGATCCACTGCTAATGCCGGGTCGAGTGGCGGCGCGCGAGCATCTGCATCCGAGCCGTAAGGGAGTGGGGACGCCGGCGCCGAGTCAAAGCGCCGCACCTCAAGACAAAAGCGCCAAATAAGGCCAAGCTGCCAACCCATCTCAAAGACGTCGCCTTGTTGGCCGGGACGTCCTTGTCGGTGCCATAGGGCAGCACGCGAGGGCTCGGAAAAGCTGGCGGCGAGCGTGCTGTAAACCTGGCAGGGAGCATGCCCTGGTTACGCACATTCTATCACATTCTGCTGGCTGATTGTGGCCTGCCCCATCCGTCTTTTCTGACGCTGCCCTTTGGCAACGGGTCCCATGGACCCGGGCTGCGCGAGCAGTACTCCTCTGCAAGGCTCCACTGCCTGCTGGTGCAGCTTATCTCGCCTTGCCTTGGCTCCCTCGCTACGCCGGCCGCGTCGCTTCAATCCCAGGGCAACCTCAGCTTGAAGAGATGGAAAAACATCCTGTACGGCCCCTACGGCCCTCTCGAAATTCCCTCTGCACCTTGGCACAGTCCTCCGCGGACAGGTTGCTGAGACCCTCGGCCTCAGAGTTGGCTCCAAACTGCCACAGCCACAAGGCCAGAATGGTGGCGTTATGCCAATGTGCTGACCCACTTACAGTCGGGGAATTTTTTACAGCTTGTCAAAAGAAGTCTGGCCGAATCTCCTTCATTCACAGCCCACGCACGCTTGAACCTAACACCGCAAGCCATACAACGTGAACATCGCCAAGCACAACCTCCACCGCCAGAGGATCCCCTAGCCTGAAGAGTCTGCCGAATCAGGGCAAGGTGCCCAGGCAGCACATCACAGAAGCCTGACCCCCAAGGCGCTGGCAAGGCCACCGCCGCCATCTCCAACTTTTCGAGAGATGTGCCTTCATTGCTCGTTGTTGCCCCCAAGGTGTTGGCAAGAATTGTTTGGGCTCCGGGCCGCTTCTGCTTTGGCCGCCGGTCTCTTGGAAAACCATCGGAGCCTTCCTGGCAAAAGCAGATCACTTCTATCACTGCTTCTACCAGAATCCTCAGCTGTTGGCCTCACCGGACGGATTCTCCTCGAGGATCTCCGGGCTGTTGGTCTCAAGGGCAAAGGCTTGCAGGAGCCAGGGACAAAGGCAGTCGGGGCCTGGAGCTGCATCCCACGGGCTGCGCCGGCACTGCGCTGGTGAGGCACGAACCTCTTCTGACGCGGGCGCCGCGGGTCCTTCTTTCAAGGCACTTTGCAGACTGCACTAGAAATATCAAGAGCTGGCGCCTCTCCCTCGCTGAGGCTCCCATCTAGGCAAGACCTTTGTCAAAACTTGTCTTTCTTTCGCCCGCAGGGCCAGAAAGACTCCCTGCTTGGGGCTCGCACCACACGCCACCACTGCGCCGGTGCGCCTAGTGTTGAAAAATCCAGTTCTAGCAGCCTAATGAGCTGCCCTTCCCAAGGCCCTAGTGCCCTAGGATCGGGGCAGCATCATTAGATTGCGCTCGCAAGCTCTGCAGACGCGGAGATGTGCTCGAAGCATCCCTGCCATTCCATAATCGGCCCTTCGCATCTCGCAACCCTCACATCATGTCACATCACTTGGCAGGCTGACCTGCAGCTGGAAGGAAGCTGTGCCTGTAGCATAGCGAGTCTTTTGGCCCTTTCCCTCCGTAAGACTGCAGGCTAGCAAACTGCACACAAACAGTCCACGACTGCGGGCCTCCCGTGGGGAAATGCTATCACCGTGGCTCATCCTGATGCGGATAGGTCTTGCTATGCGGCTTCCGATCAAAGCTTTGGCCTCCGGTGGGATGTAATCTCCGATGGCAGCTCCATGGGGTTTGGCCTCGCGCGACAAGGCATGAGATGGCATGCAAAATACAGCTGAGAGCAAGGCAGCGACCCGTGGTGCAAACGAGCAGGCATCCTTGTGATGCCCGGAGTTTCTACCTGTCCCCAAGCCTGACCAAGAAGAGGACTTCTCCAACAATCTGTGATCTACATTGATCCTTGCTCTGCCTGCACTGCCCCTCGAGGCGAGGCAGGCTGCAACAGCTTCAACCCATCCACCACCTGCGAAAGCTTGCCAAGTTGCAGAGAAAGCTAAGGAAAGCTAAGGTGCCGCTGCTCTGCTCATGTCTCTGTGGGCCAGCACCTGCGGAGTCAACGTTGTCGGGGAAAACCTGCCATACAGCCTGCCCTCGCTTGCTCGGCACAGGCCATTCACCGCAGTCAAAGAAGAAAGAATAAACGCCGGTTTTTCGCAGCTCTGTCTGTTGGGGTTTGGCACACATCCATTTGTGGTACTTGTAGTTCATGGCAAAGCCAACAGGAAACCCTGTCAAAAGATCTAGAGCGCATGAACGTACCGGGAGTTGATCAAGCACGCAGGGGCACTCGCGCCGTCCGGGGCTTCGAGGGCTTTTCTCCACCACTTTGGGTGCTTCGGTTGTACGCCTTGGGTCAAAGTGCTTGCGCGCAGTCTGAACCACAGGGCCAGAAAGAGCCTCTGCCCATGACCAAAGTGATTGGCCAAGTTCTCCCCCGTGCTTTGGCGGCAGAGCCTCAGATGATGCTGCAGCTTGGCAGGCCGCTAATGATGACCAGCATGACTTTGTCCAACAGATTCTTGGAATCTCTTCAGTACATGTTCTTGATTTCATCACGCACGCAACATTCAGGCCAAACAAACATGACATGTTATGAGCTGCTTGCTTGCAATGTCTTGGCCCTTGGCCCTCTGGCTAGCAGCGTGCCAGCCGTGGAGGCCACCGTTGCCGCCTGTCAGGCACAAGGTTCAGGCCTTTTGTCGCTCCGTGTTGTTCCATGCCTTCCTCGTCACACCAGCTGGCCGGACCTTTGCGGGAACGAGCAGATGTATCAAACGGCAGGCAGCGGTGTGTTCAGGCCTCAGTCACAGAGCCTGCGACGCACACAAGTTGACATGGGTTCACCGAATGCACTACAGCATGCCAGCTCTTGTAGGCTGCCTTGATGAACCGGCAGTGTGGGGCCGGAGACCGCGACTCTGGGTGAGGCCTTGGAGAAGCAGAGTGTGGGGAGTGCATGGCCCTCGTCTGAGGCCGCGACCAGCAAACGTCGTACTTGCACAGCCACAGGGCCGCGGGGCACTGTCAAGGACCCTTCACATCTGCGCTGTGACAAAAATCAGTGCAACATTTTGCGTGTTTGGAGCCTCCTCCCCCAACTAAGGCCCCAGGGATGGGGCCTGGGCTTGCCAAGGTGGCCTGAGCAGGCGAGCAACACAAGTGCGCGTGAAGTGAACCTGCATTTGCCAAGTAAGATTCCCACCGCCATTAGACCCCGTGCTCTGAAGGATCGACCGCTGGCAGCCAAAAGGGCCGCAGCACAGACCACTAGTTGAGCACAGACCACTAGTTGTTTCTGAGAATGCCTAAGAGCCCCGGGCTTTGGGTCAGTTTCGACACAATGTCACCGTACTGTACGGAATGCAAGTGTCACAGGTGCCAGAAAGAAGCAATGGCAGGCACCGAAACCGCATTCGCGCCTGCTTGGCACCAACGTATTTCAGCTTATCCAATGGAGAAAGGAACTTGTCAGCGGTGCGTGAGCAAAAGCTGCTCAATAACAACGGTCTAGTAGACCGCAAAGTTGAAGCGCAACCTGATGTCCCAAAAATAATCCTGGCATGTGCGCTGCCCACCTGTAGACTCACTGTAGAATGCCCCATCCATGGAAGCTCTTGATGTGCAGACTGTTCCCAGAAAATGCAAACCTCATGTGCCTTGCAACAAACGGATGAATGTGAAAACGCAAAGTTAAGTTTTCCTGTTACTTACAAGCCCTGAAAACCACGATGGCCAAGGCCTCAGGAGGGCTATGACGTTTCCTTCGAAGGTTGTGGGGAGGGCTGTCTTTTTGCCGGCGTACAGGATGATGTGTGACCAGCGCCGCAAAAACAGATAAAACGGATCAGCCTGTTAGCGATTTCACTCTGCTGGATGGCATACATTTCAGAAATGTCGGAGGCCAGTTGCAACATGCCGCTGTCCAGCGGTTCCGGCTCCGCTGCGGCGTGCCATCCGACCAGAGGGCCACCCATCACAGGTGGAGCCTTGATCTGCTTGCAGGCCGGACGATGCTTCCTGTCGACTGCAACGCGCATGTTTCAAGTGTTAGCCAAAGCTCCTCTCTGCGACTGTTATGATTTGTCTCGGCGACGTGTGAGTCATGGATAAATCACAACTACAGTAGCGCGTCCCCCCTGAAACTGGCAGCAGGAGCGACGTTTGCAACAAGCAAGCTGTGGCGAGTTGAGCTTTGGCCCAAACACAATGACAAAAGCATCCATTGGCCATAGGCTCCTTGCTTTGAAAACTGGTTCCTCGGGGTTTGACTGATGCTAGACTCAGCCTTTGTCTGCATGAGGTAGCATGTTGGGAATGGGTATTGGAAGAAGCTCATCGCGACGACGACTTGTTGCACATGAGCTGTCCCCTCTCACCACCACATTGATCAACCCGGGGTCGTCTCTCAACCGTTTCGATACTGGACCCCCAAACTGTCCAAATCACCAAAGAACTGCAGCCTCAAGGTGCAGGCCGCCTGCCTCAGACTCCAGCCCCGACCCCCGACAAATTATCTGAACATATCTGAATTATTACTATTCTGAACTGCTAGTGGAGTGGGCTGCCATAAACTGCCGCCCCAAGCCTATCAAAATAGTTAAAGAATGTTAAATACAGTTTGCCTCTGCGCAGGGCCAGAAGAAGTAAAGTATCGGGGGCATGCGGTGGCATCTCGGGTCCACTGAAATGTCCTTCGAGGTCATTGGAGCGCGAGACGCAGCAGCGGATTGCACAGTCTGTATATGTAGTTCCTTGAAGTCGGAAGTACCGGATACGACCTAAGAGCGCAGACACAGGTATCCGAACAACTGGAGCACGGCCGAAGAAGTGTGGGTACCAGAAGAATTGAAGGGGGGGTACCAGCAGCGGCGAAGTGCCGAATTCTATAGAACGAACAGCAAGATCACCGTGGCACAAAAAAAGAAGCCACACACAAAGAGAATGCTTGAAGTACGAACACTTGTGAGAGGATTTGCTTTGGCATCAAGGGGGGCACGCTGTCCTCGACCGCCTCCCCTTTGTCAAAGCCATTGGCCCACCCTAGTTTGCCTTGGCGTGCTGGTCTACAACTGTGGACCCGCTTGTCGGTGTTCATGTCCAGTCGTACCATCACTGATGGAGACCCATAGGCTGTCATCCGTGTCATGATTGACTGGTATGAGGCCAACCTCCAGCAATCCCAACATAGAGATCTTCATGTGCGCTTCCTGTTCATCAGTGCTGTGCTGGACCGTCTTCCGACTAATTGCTTTGGTATAAACTGTCGACATGGTTTGCAGCTGCAGTTGTGTGGCACTTTTTGACTAGCCATATAATTACTATCTTGCCTTAGGCAAACACAACAAAATCGAAGCACCGTGTGCAAACTATGAAAGGACGTTCGTTAAGTTTCCATGGCTTGATGCCGTGTTGCAGAGGTTCCGCAAATTTGATACCTCACCCGGGCCGACCAAGCCCGAATCCACCAAAAGCTAGCCAAGCCTCATCAAATACCAGTAGTTTCGTAGTTTGATAGCTGTATTGTATGTGGCTGAAATATTATGATCTTTACGCATCTAGTGTCAGCAGCCCCTTAAAAGTGCGATCTGCTTTAGCGCCTGCAGCCACCAGATCAGTTCTCCTGCCAGAACAAGTGTGTTGTATTAGACAGAACTACACCAGCACCAACATTATTATGATGATGCATCTGCTGGCACGCTCATTAGTACTACTGCTATGCTGATGTAAGCACCCACGGGAGCCACGGAAAATCATGCAATCCATTTTCGTGCTGCGGGCGCAAGGCTCAGGACCTGATGTTGGGACCAGCATATGGTAACTCAACTGAGAAAGTATCTGCTGAAAACTGACAAGTGTACCGAGTCGACACACTAAATGTATATATATATATATACATATAAACGACAACTAGGAGAATGGTTTTACCACATCGTGAGGGTAGCTTGTCGGTACGCAACAGCAATGTCATGGCAGTACGGCAATATGTTTCATGGTCATGGCTTACTGGGTTGAATCAGAGGGGTGCACGTCTTGAGGCTCAAAGCCTTGCTCAGAAGTCTCCAACGTCTGCGGTTCCACCAGTGCCAGCCACGTCTTCGGCTGGTTCCTCGATCTGTGAATTTGACAATTGTGTGGGAGATGCCTGAGCTCAAAAAGGGGACTCCTCCTCGGCAGTCTGTGTGCCCAATGTCTGGTCGACCTCCCTGGCGAGAGCCGCTCTGGCTTTGCTCATATAAGATTAGAGGGCACCTCAGCAGCTGCCGTGCTTCCAGGATGATTTGTACCTGGTAGAGGGACAGCTGACATCAGCTGTTGCCAGCTCTCCTCGCCTCAGGGTCCTCACCCTCGACCACCGGGACTTCCTGACAGCCGGCCCCTGCTGTCGCCAGCATTACTGGTACTGGGTTGGCATGATTGATTTTTCTCTTTGCATCCGCCTGGTGGCTCTCAGCCAGAAAGTCGCGTAGTTCGGTGGCATACCTGGCAGCCGGACTCTGCCAATGACACCCTGAGGGCTCGGCCGGCGGCGCTTCTGAAGCCGATGCCGGGCGTCAGGGAGGACTGTCAGGGTGTCCTCAGAGTCACTGCCATGCGTCCAAAAAGAGTTCAGGAGGACTTTGAGCTGCTTTGAGCTGCTGAGGCTGCTGACATTCAAGACTTCCATCTGCTTCTTGATGTCCGCCTCAGCTGCTCCAGGCTGCTCCTGTCTGCCCTTTGCCTTTGATGCCTTTGCCTGTTGTGACAAGGCCTCCTCTTCACCCGTCGTTCTCATCGCGTCGATCTTTGAACGCTGTGTGCCCTGACCCGTCAGGCTTGCAGCTCTGAGCTCAGGCATTCAGAGGAGCGATCCGAGTCTTTTGGATCAAGGCGATCCTGGCGTCGGGGTTCTGACAGCCTTGACCTATACATGACCTCAGCTGCCATTGAATGCTCTTTGAGCATGGATTGGCTGCGCAGTGGGCGCAGTGCGGGCACCAGCAAGTCCGGCGCTGCCAAAAATCTAGCATTCGCACTTAGCAGAAATCCGATAACGTGGTGCTGTGCCTGCTAAGTGCGTCGGAGCATTTCAAAGGTTGATTTGCGGTTGCAAGCTTTTCTGTTGCTGGAGAAGCTTCCCCATGCATGGGCTCTAAAGCACATAGCATTCACCCGTCGCAAACTTTACAGAAACCTATTATCTACCTGCTGTCTACACATCGAACTGGCTGGTCTCACATGGCCAGGGCGAATAACTGGGTGAGGTAGAACGTGCCGTTGGAGGCCCGGGCAACTCCGATGCCGCAGAGGTTGAAACTTCCACGCAGATTCCTGCACGGACCGAAGGCCAGGGAAACAGCCCAACATGGCTCAAACATCGCTGGGGAAAGTTCTGGGGGTTACCAGGAAGTCCATGGCCTCTCGTGTCCCGGAGACTTGATCCAGCCGTCCTTGGTCTGTGCAGGTCATCAGATCCTATTCAGGACGTTTTGCCTTGTTTTCTAAGAGATTCTCTTTAATATATTTGCAAGGCCATTCTTGCTGAGCTTCCACTGCCACCTTGGCGACATCTGCCACCCCACTGTTCAGAGCCTCGCAGCTCAACTTGGTGAAGCTGACCCTTGTCGAAGGGCAGCAAGGCAAGGCCGTGACCAAGTTCTCAGCGGCCGCTCGGTGGACAACTGGATACGCTCGAAAACGACCTTCCACTCCATCATGGCCTGGGCAGCTCGAGCGTACCGCGACAAGGACATGCCGTGCCGAATTTTCGTCCAAAGGGCTGAAGGGCATGGCACCGCTTGCCATCTGCTCCGCATGTTCCCGCGCAATTCGGGCAATGCCGTCATGCCATCGCAGTGGCATCAGCCCCTTGGCCGAACTGTCGAGACAATGCTGTCTGTCTGTGATGTAAACATTGAACGGGGCCTTGGAAGCACGGTATTGATTCGTGCCATCCAGGGCCTGGCGAGCGATCAGCTCCGGGTCCTTGCGGTGCGACCGGCAACTGTTTCAAGGAGATTCTGAAGTCTGAGCCGTTCCGAGCTCCCTGCGTAACTTCGGGCCACCAAGGTCGAGTACGAGGTGGCAGGGCTGGCCTGGTGGGCTTGCCGGTACCTTCAGTATTCGCTTGAAAAATTTCTTCGCCCACCTGGACATGACATGAGGGCACTCATCCGCGTAGCTGGGCATTCCAGCGATGGCCTCCTGTGTCCGCATCTTCTCGATGTCTTGGAGAGTGAAGTGCTGAGAAGAAGTGCTATAACGCTACAGCATTGCTTGTCGCATTGCTCTTGGCTTTGGCAGCAGCCTGGGCTCGCCGGGCTGGACCAACTGCTGGCGCAGGTGGCGCTGGCGCAGGTGGCGCGGACGGCCGCAAGGCAGCACCCCCCACGCCCGGATTAGCGCGCTGCTTCCGTGCAGCGTCCTCGGGTTCACAGTTGCAAAGGGCTGGGAGCAATGCAGCCGGCAAGCTCCTCTCGGAATCCGCGAGGATCCTGAAACAAGCCAGGCGGCGAGCCAAGCGGGTTCAAGCATTGAGCCAGCTCAACGTGAGGGAGGTCCCTGAGGTCCTTCAACCTCTGCTCCGTCAGAGCTGCAATGTGCTGGCGCCGGCTGCTCTCGAAACCTTGAGGCCTCTCTGGCCTACACATCCTGCGCCAGGAAGAGCACTAAGCAGATCGGCTTCAGGCTAAAGCATGCTAAAGCCACCTCATCCTCGTCAATTTGACGGCTGCTTGTAACATCTTGTAACTGTGAAACGTGTCTTCTTGGTACCTTGTCGATTCCCCGTGTTGGGGGTGTGGGGAAGGCCGGCTCGGCGCGCTGCGCGGCCGACTGAGCTCGGCCTTTCCATGGAGCCGGCTACTTGCACAAATTGTTAGATTTGCTGCCCCTGATGTTGAGGAGCCCAGGAAACCAAGCGTCAGGAAATGCTATCGCGCGGAGCTATCGTGTTGCACTGGGCGTCTGTTTTTGGAATTCAGGGCACATGTTGGGGCTTACTGAACAGACAACTTTTATGCGCCTCTGGAATGACAACGTCAGCAGCTGCCTGCACTGCCTCAGGCAGGCACAGTCCTTTGCCCCATGAAAAACACTTAGAACACTTGCGCCTCGTGCACTTGGGAGAAGGATGTGCCCACCTCGCCCTTGAAAACCAGGTAGGATTCCTGCGCACGGCATGTCGAACTGGTTGCAACTGGCTGCCTTGGCTAGCTTGAAAAAAATGCTTCACATCTTCATGTCTGCGCCATCCATCAACGTCACCATTTGCAAGCGGAAACTGAGAAATGTTCAACCACAGCGCCGTCTTAATTTGGTGGGCGTTACATACTATAGCGGCAGTGCTCGAATTTCTTGGGGACTCGGCCAACGGGCATCTGGTGATTGATCCCTCCCCCTAATCTTAAACCACCTACCATACGGGTCCCCCAGAATTCCAAATTCTGAAATCTGACCGGCAGATTATTGTTAAAAAAGGGCCAAGATTACGATTAATTACCTGTCGGATTCTGTAATTGGGGGGTCCCCAGCATGACACTTAAGGAATAGGGCAGGGATCTCCTTGATTTGCAGGATTTTTTTTTATCGGGTTCGAGTATACACTACCAAGGTGCGGGCCAGGTTTACTGTTTTACATTATTATGGATTACGAGTCACTAAACCATAGGAACCAACTTTCATGGCTTCGGGGTTGTGCTAAGGCTTTCAAGGCTTGTAGTGCTTGCCGAAGCTTGAACGTCAGAGAAGCCGTGCGCATAATCAAGCTGCCAGCCTTGTCAGCGGTCTCTTCGCAGAACCCCGCATGGAGCCTCTTCAGCAAACACGCTGTCAACTGAATTGGACTTGGCTGTGGCATCTGTGGCCCCTGCATGAGCGCAACGGCCTCCCATCGAAGCTCATGCTTCCTACTCTGCGTATCTCTGCGTATCTCTGCGTCTCGTGAGGCTGAGACTCAGCCTCAGGGTGGCGGCCGACCTGCTCCGACAGATCCACATCATGCGGCATACAAGGCTTTCTGCTTCAAAAACTCCACACCTCGGTATTGAACCTTGCATTGTCCATGCGCAATCGCCGGAACTTGGGCCTGGGATTGGGATGAGGTCTCGACGGCCACGTGGCGGGTGTATAAGTATTAGCAGCTGTGCACGCGACTCCTCTGGCTGCTCAGCGATTCGGGAGAGGAGAGAACGCAGCGTGGAGACCTCTGGGCTAGCGGCTTTCTTCCTCATTCTGAAATCACAGAAACCTTCTCTCTGGGCTGCTGGCACAGACCTTGAGTTCCTCATCTGGAAGGCCCTGTCAAACACATCACTGAAAAAAGCAAGAAATGGAAGAAGGCTGAGCGCAGAACGAGAAGTGCAGCCAGCAAAGCGTCCAACTGCTCGTCGTGTGCCTGCTCGGAATTCCCTGAGATGCCCACCTGCAGTGTGCAAAAGTACTTGAGTGTCGCTTGCCTCAGCGACGTCTTGTTCAACCTGTGATGCAAGGGAAATGGGCAGCAAGATGGGAGGAAGGCGATGACACAAGCTATGCGAGTGGCGCCTTGTCGTCAGCAGCCTCGGACAGCTCATTTAGCTCGCTGGGCTCGCTGATGCAGACCGGTTCGAAGCTGGTCACGGCCTGAGAGTGAACATGGTGAAAGAAAATGAACACCGACAAAACGTATACGGCATACGTAGCCTGTGGGCCGCCAGTGCTGCTGGACATCTCCAGCAGAGCCGCAAGGGACATGTCTGCCAACTGCTGGCGCCTGAGTGCGCTTGCACTGTAATTATTGCGTGGAAGCTCCGCTCCTTATGCGGCACGGCACACTAAGAGTGCGGCGAGCAGTTGGCATTTGAACGGAAGAGTTGCGACACAGCTCCCTGAGCAAAGGGAATGTGTCGGCTTCGACCACATGAAGCTGTCACCAAGCGCAGACGCCTGAACGGTGTCCTTGGGGATGCTTGGAAACCTCATGACTTTGAGCACATATCATGCATATTAAAGGGGCACACTGGCTGTGACAGCTGCAAAGACTTGAGTCTTGATTTTCCTGACTCGAAATTCCATGCTCCGAACAGGCCTTAGGCCTCGAGCCTCGAGCAATGCAAGGATCGCAAGGAGCCCACGATTCCAAAGCTGGAGGCCGCAGAGATGACATGCAGCACGCTGCCAGCTCAGGGCACCGTGGGGTGATGTGACCAGTCTGGCCTGGAAAGTTTCCTGCTACGCTGCTACGTTAAAGACTTCCTTCAGTGAGGTCTTTTCAGGCCAGGAGAGCCGTTAGCTTCTAAGCCATCTGTCCCGCTGGGGACCTTGGGCCACTGGCACCGTTCGGGCCACTTGGGCCACAAGGGCCACATGGGCCTGGGTTGAAGCCACGGCCACCGCCTGTAACACAAAAAGCCATGGACAGAGCACACATGGCACACACAGGCGAGACATTAGAGCACAGCGTTTAGCTACCATCCTGGGGAGCGGTAGGCGGGCGAACCAGGATTCGACATCGACATGGGCATGTTCCTGGGCACCAAGATCCCTGCGACTAACTTTTTGGACTTTCTACTAACTTGTGCCGTGCCGAGAGGCGGCAGATTGGCACCTGGGAGTGCAGGCCCGTTCCTCGGCTTTGAAGAAAGCACAGGAGAACTTAGCCAAAGCAATCATGTTTGCACTCTGAGCTAAGAAGGCTGGGTTCCCAAAGTTGCCATAGGGCTTCCCGGCAAGTCCTGGCTTCAACAATAGCGCAGCTTTTGCAGCTAGACGGCGGCTGCAGCCTTGAGGAGGTGGACCTCGTGGGCCACCCGGACCGCCAGCTTGCATCATAGATGGTCCTGCGAGAGGCGATCGTGCAAGCGTGACAGCGAACACATCCGATCGAGCGGTCCCATGACCATAGGAGCGTCACGGTAAGACACTGGAGGAACCTGCGGGATGCAAATCCTTTCTGGGGCCCGCTGCAAGTGCAATGCAAGTGCAGTGGCACCTGAAGTGTTTGCATAATGTTGTCCAGCTCCTGTGGAAGGCAATGAAAGCTAAGACTGCTAAGACTGCTAAGACCTATTTATAGGTTTCTCCTTTTGAACTGCTTGGGCTCCACTTTGCAGCTCCGCAGAGCTCCTCATCACAGCGCTTTGAGCCACAAAACGTGCGAAACGCGCGTGATGTGGGAGCTCATGAGGTGGCGTTCGGCAAGCTGGCGGTGTTCGTCGAGGCTACCGAAGCTGTCGACAAGGGCACCGCGGCCGCCTTTTGGAGGCAAAGGAAATGCAAACAAAAAAGACCAAGGAACAGAGCAAATTGGCGCTCCTTCAAACATTTGCTCCACCATCTGATGTATTTGCCTTGGCAGCGCTACATACCACAAAGGCAAGCTTCCTAATGGCTCTCAACGTTCACGTTTATTATACATCTCACAAAAACGCACTTGACCTCTCCCGCTCTGACATTCAACACGGGCGTTGCCAGCCACGCTGAAGTACAGCTTACAACACGTGATTCGTTTACTACACTCGAGGCACTGGTACATAATTGATACACCCAGAGCTGAGCCGTCAACCATTCATAGTGACGGCTGTGTGGACATGCTATGTACATGTTACTGCATTGCACTCAAACATGACTGACAGTACTTCATTCAAACACAAACTTGCAACAGGTCACATAACTGTTCCGCTACACGGCTCGTAAATGTTCTGGGTGAAACATGAAGCTTCCTAGCAGGGCTCAAGCATGGTCTGCACCCCTACATTTTCGTGAAGATGTCATAGGGTAAAGACCCAACACATGCCAGTCTTTCACTTCTTCTTGCATTTGCCCTTGCCCTTTGCTGGAGAGCCCTTGGATTTACATGTGTGCTGGCTGGCTTTTCAGCGGAGTTGTCAGGTGATTGCACGTGTGACTGAATCGCAAACATGCAGTGCAAACATGTAACTGGAATCAAATTCAAACGGTACGGGGACTTCAACACCCCCCTCGCCGAATGCTTTTTGAGCATATAGGCAGATCTTGCGGGAAATGCGTAGCAGTGCAAGAAACAACATCCTGCGAGCCGACGGAAGGCTACGCCTCGTTTTCCAGATGCGCCGGACAAAATACTTCTGTCCACAAGCAAGCCTGTACGACTGCAGCAAAAGTGCATAGAGCTACTGGTTACACGCCAGGGAAGGTTTCATCTATTCTCACGGAAGAATAATTTTTCAGTCAAGCCTTCTTGGCCGACATACTTCAAGAACCAAATTTTCTTGAATACATGGACAACCTGGTTGGTCCCACGCGTTTTTTGCCCGCATGGGTGTAGAACATTATGGTACTTGTAGAACTTCTTGGAAATCATAACGAAACAGGGAAAGTCTCCGACGACTTTCTTCAAAAGACAGTTGTTTTCTTCAATCCAGAATTTAAGAGCAGAAATCCATTCTTCCGGCAACAAGGGTTTTTGAGCCTTATAGCAATCAGGAGATGCGTAGCACCATCCAGAACCAATTCAAAAGGGCAACGTGCTTCATATCTCGGAGTCCTAAACAAACGTCTTGGTGCTCCACGACGAAGATTACGCCGCTGAATTCAGATGCCAACTTTCTTGAGATTCAGGCCCGCGGCGGACTGGGAACCGCAGCACCACAGACCTTGCAACCTTTCACTACCTTGCAAGACGTCTCATGAATGGAACCTATCAAATCCAACATGCTAGTTCTTCTACGAAGCTCTGCAGGTGACATGAGGGAATGCTTCACACGCACTTTGCACAACTCTACGTCATGTTCAAGCCTACGACGCATTTTCTGGAAATGAGGCGAGGCTGAACTAGGTTAAGCTCACGACCGGGCACAAGAACAAACCGCCTGGGTTCTTGGGACGAGTCTTCATGCGCTGCCGGCTCACGCTCGCGCTCTCTCTCTTTTGATTCACTACTTATGTAAAGTAAAGCCTCGGCAGGACCTCGCCGTCCTCGTCAGATCAGCCATATCACAGCAGTACAATAACCTACAGCATCTTCAACAGCAAAACATGATGCCATGCCATCATTAAAACAGGAGGGATCTTGGTCCCAGCATGGGCTGGGTACCTCACCTTCAGTGGGCACCTCCATGTGACCAAGATTCCGGGCAGAGAGTTCTGCCACCACGTTGAGATTTAAAACGGGCGTTGCTAGCCTCACTGAGGTACAGCTAACAAAACCGTAAAATGTTTTTTCTTCTACCCGCAGGGCACCGGAACCTGATACTCCCAAAACCTTGAGCTATCAACCTGGCGCTTGCGTGAACATGCGATGTACATGCTACTGGATTGCACTCAGCCATGAAAGCGATTAACCCCCGGCCCTGGTGCAAAAGTGTTTTGATCCTTGTCCAGTAGGCTGTCCACAGCTGTTTACTTGAAAGTGTTCAGGTTAAACGAAGCTGTTCACAGTTTGAGCGTACATCCTCTCTGCTTCCTTGTTTCAATATTGCAAAATCCTGCAAACATGATGCGGACCCGCTTATTGTGCTCTTCTCTTGAACTGTTCGACATGTGGGCAGGGTGACGGGAAGTTTCAACCGCCTTTCTGATGATGCCTGTTCAATTCAGGCACTCGTGCTACAACGATCCGTGTCTCACGATATGCGAATCCTCTTCAGTGACGTACGTAAGCTATGAATTGTAACGTAAGATGCACCTAACCGTCTGCCTGCAATCGAAAGAACCTGACAGAGCATGATCCCTCCAAGCTCTCTGCTGCTTCATGGGCTCATGGCCGCTGTGCTTCTGCCCAACCTCCTTCACGAAGAGTTGGTTCAATGGAGCGAGAACAGACAATGAAAGCACCCAAGAGAAAGGCCTCAGATACAAACCCATGAAACTGTAGTACCCATCAGCTCAGATCATGAGTTTCAGCTGGGAGAAGGAAGGCAGCACCTGAGCCTTCCCGACCAGCACGCTCGTGTTGTTGGCAATGTTGTCCTGCGTCAGGCACCCTCTTGCAGGCGGAGAGGTGAGGAGTTTCTGAGCAATGGTGCTGACATCCAGTCCAGCATGTTGTGATAGTCCTTCCTTAGCGCCGCAGCACCGCACATCAGCCCATTCACTGCCTTCCAATGTTTGCCAAGCGTCTCCTTGCCAAGCTGGTAAGCCAGCAGATCGGCACACCGAGCCAACTCCCCGCGGTACATTGTGATGTCCTACACAAAATGGATTGTGAGGTCCGAACGCTGTCTTGGCTCGTCTCCTGCGTCATCTGCGCCACCTCGCGCTCAAACTCCACGCAAAGCTGCTCGACCACCTCCAAGCACCGCGAGGACATGTTTGCCAAGTACACTGCAGCCTCCTCCAATACGACATTGCCGTCAGTCGGCCTGCATGCAGAAGCTGCGAAAGGCATTGACCTTGGGGCTGTGGTCCATCATCGGCTGGGCCATCCTCTCAGGCGGAAGCTTCGGTGAAAAGCGCTTGGTACAGTGAAACTGCGTCTGAGAAGGAAAAAGGATTGCTGGGCCCAAACCCTTTGCAAAGCACCATGCCTTCCAGGATTTTGCCGAAGGATCCCAGGGCGTCGGCTGCTTGGACCAAATGGCTCACGGCTCTACTCGAATGGCTCAAGGACTCTGTCAAACACGAACAGCAGCCGTGACTGACATCACTACTTCCATCATAGACCAAGCGACATCTCCGCCAAGCGCTCCGCGATGCTGGAAACGCCACCTGTGGTGCTGCTTTGGCCAATGACAGCTCGCTCCTGGAAGCTGCAGCAAGGCATGGCAGCTAGCAGGCGCTAGCAGGCAATGCGTGCAGGAATTGGGCCTGGACTGGCTTGCGCCGGTCTGCAGTGGCACGGAGCTCATCCCGCCTGGGCTGACGCTCAACATTAAGCATCTCCGCACGCCTTATGACGCGATCCATCTGCTTCCTGGAGCTGCGCACATCAAAGGCTGCCTCTGAGTATCCCAGACAAGTCGCACATTGAGGTTCCTCTGTGGCATCGTTCGTGCCCGCATCTTTGTTATGCTGAAGGCTGACCCTCCCCTAATGTGTCGCTGGCTTGAGCCGGTATAGGCAGAAAGAAGGGTAAGCATGGAACCACAACACAACAAGCAGCTCACAACCGGCCTCCTCCTTCACGTAGGCCTCATACTCCTCAGAGACGGAACGTCGTCAGCCTTACCCTGACGCTGGCCTTCCATAGCCTAACCTTCTTCGTGCGCTTTGCTGCGCCAACCTGGCATGGCCCAGGGCTCAGATGTGCTCAGAGTACCAGATGCGGCGCCTTGATTTGCAATTGCTTCAGAGCAGGGTCCAGTGGCATTGCTTCACTTGCCTAGTCCTCCCGCGTAATCAGTGCCTTGGACGTCTTAAGTGTGTGCATACTGTACACGACGCTTGCTGATGCCATGCTTGTGGTGGCTCGATTCCGATTTTCGTCCTGCTTTGGGCCTATCATGTCTGTAGCAGGCACAGCACCAACAACAGCAATAGCAGGCAAATTCGAAGGGGATTGGCTAGTGCTTGGCCAGCGCCAAGCACTCATATTCTGCAGAAATCATGCTCCTTTCTGCTTTCCTTTCTCAGAGGGAGTGAAAATGGCAAGTTCTTGGGCGTTGCATAAAGCTGCTGGAGAAGCAAATGGCATCTCGGCACAAACATATTAATATTCTTGCGTCAGGACCCATAGAATACGTTGCTTTCAGAAACCTTCCCAATGCATGATTTCCCAAAATCAAAACTCAAACCGGAACAGGGCCACTTCGCACAAGTCTGGATCCACTCATCGACTCTATATCCCCACTATGCCCCGCAAACTGTTCCCGAACGGAATCCGGCTTGTTTTCAGCGACCGACTTCAGAGACGGTTCAGAAGCACAGGTCTTCAGCATAACCTATGAGATGCTTGCAGCTCTTGGCAACGCGGCGCTGGCATTGCTTAAGAACTTTGGCTGGTCCTACCTGTGATGCCAGACATGACTTGTCTAAAGAAATTAAACCTCATCAGTCTCTGCTTTGCGGAGCTCGTGAGCTTAGAAGGTCGCAGTTGTGCGGACCCTTCCGTACAAAAGAGAGATCTCGGCGTGTAGGCAGACTATGCACAAAAATGTATTGCAGCCAATTAGTGGGCATGCCCCGAACCATGGTCGTGGGCCGCCCCCTCAGCTATGCAGTGTTCGTGGCCGATGAGAATCAAGCCAATGCAAATAGCCCCAACCGCGAAAGATAGAAAAGCGCAGATTCGCTGTCCAAAGGTGAGCTTGGGGTCGTACATCTTTGGCAAGCAATCGGTAGCACCGACATGCAAATACACCCCACCACCAAAGGCCAGGATGAGGCCAACAAGGGAGTCGTCAACTTTCGTCAGATAGATGATGAGGCATCCAAGGAGGACACTGAGACCACTCAGGAAGTTGAACGCCAGGGCCTTCAAAGAGGACATGGAAACCACTGGACCAGTCAAGATGACGAAGTCCGCGAGCTCCTCAGGGAGCGAAGACAGGCAGCTAGGTACTTTAACTATGGCAGAAAGCAGGGAAAGGCTTCAGGCGCAACTGCATCCCGTAGACAGGATCTCCCCGTGGCTTTTGGCTGGCCTTTCAAGCTTCCAGCCTGCCCCCAGCCACGGACACGTTTATCTTTGCATCCAGATTGACTGCGTTCGGTTCCCAGGGGATCCATGCTCCAACCATATTACATGAATGATAAGCTTCATTCCCGACTGCGGTTCCCTGCCCCAGCCATAAGAAGGTTCATTCAGAGAACCCCAACCACAATAATTTTCGTCTCCGACTGCGCTCGATTCGCAGAGCATCCATGCCAAAGCCATCATAAGCTTCAACCCAGCGCTTGGTTCCCTACGCGTCCATTTCCAAACCGCATTGATCCCTGCAAAAGCCTGCTCTAAGGGGTGAACAGAATCTACAAAGTAGTCTACGGCAAGCGAATGCCCAAGGAACACGTACAATTTCATAGCCTTCAACGCACGAAGCGCTGTAAATATGGTGAATGCTGCAATGGCATGACTGACCAAACACCACATCGAGCCGTGGACCCAGTTAGGTCTACAGTAGATGACACGTCGTCTCTTGCCTGAGGCAGCTCATGCAGGATCGTGCCCGTAGCCACGCTCCAGCCAAATGCATTGCCACAAACTTGGAACGCTGCTCCGATGAAGAAGCCATCGGATAGGTTGTGGAAGAAGTCGCCAATCATCACAGCACCCAATAGTCGAGCTTTGGCCCGGAACTTCTGCGCGCTGTCAAGGCCCTCCAACTCAGGCTTTGTCTCAGCCTCCTGCTTCGCATCTTCTGCTGAGGCCGACTCCCCCTGACCGCGGGAAAGCATCACCAGACTGATGATAGTCTCCACCACTGGCGGCACCACTATTCCTGCCAAGATCATGGCTCCCCATCGCTAAACAATGTCAACCTCTGTCTTCCAGCCCACTCCAATTAGGTGCGTGGACTCAAAGAGGAGCAGGAAGAAGGCACAGGCAAGCAAAGCGCCAGCAGCGAAAGCGAAGAGGATCGCACTAAAGACTGGCTTCTCCGTCATCCTCCTCATGGGACCACACATCAACAGCACTCCGATGAAATTGGTCAAGTTCACTAGGAAGGCCGCGGCGAAGGGAGCTGCATCGATCGGCGGCGTCTCCTCCTCTGCTGTGACTGGCAGCTCACCAAGCGGCTCGATGTCTGTGCCAATACTGTCCTCGGGGTAGCCAGTCAAGAAGGAAAAACGCCCTGCCTGCATGAAACAGCCCTACTACACAATCCTTCAAGTAGTGGGCTGTTGATTCGAACTCTGTGGGAACATGGGCTGTAAAGAAAGCGATCCCCGACACGGCGTTGGCATCAACGTTGAAGAGGCTCTGCCATGCAGTTGCTTGGAACTGCAGATCGTAACAGGTGTTATTAGCCGGGGTGATGGTACCTCCGGCTTGGACTTGAGTACAAGTGAGTTCCATGGCCTTTTTTGCTTGCGCCTCCAAGTCGCTGAGGCCCTGCTGGGTCAAGGTTGTGGCTGGCAAAGCCACGATCTTCATGCTGGGATTCACATAGCTCCCGTCCACTTTCTGCGCCGTCCAGAGATAATTGCTCTCTGGTGTTTCGAAGATGCCTGCCCACTCAAAGCTCCCGTGGTCGCCATGGTCATGCGCGTGGTCATGGTGGTCGTCACCTGCAGCAGCTGCGCGTTGAAAGCCGTAGCAAGCTGCAAGGAGCACACACGCGCGCGCATGTTTCATGTCGTGCTGCGGTGGTTTGGATAAAACGTCGAATCTTGGGCAAAACTGCGGCATGCATCGAGCTACAACATCCCATCATGGCTTTGTCAAATTTCAGCTGTGTGTAAAATGCAGTGCGGCCCTCCCTCCTCATGTTGAGCGCATGGCCTTGCCCCTTTGCCAAGCACGCAGTTCGCCATGGGTCCGTGGACTTCCCCACAGTATAAATGGCGCTGATGACCGCGGGCCGGGTGGGGGGATACCCGGGCTTCCGCGCGGCCTACAGCGTCGATTCTCTCTTGCATGCCATCGGCCGGAGAGTGGGGACACTGCGGCGTGACCCCTAAAAACCCCTTTTCCTTATTATTCACATACAACGCCGCAGCAATCGCAATTTTCTAAAGCTTTTATTTGCCATGCTCCAAAAGCTGGTGCAGCAGAGCTGCTGCCGTGGGGCCTTCTGGCGATGTGAGCGGGCGCGCAGATCTCCAAATCTTGCGGGATTGCCTTCAGGGAGCGAAGCTTTAATGGGTTTCAGGGTTTAGGGGCTTGCAAAGGTCACGGTTTGAGGTGTATGGTCTAAGGCCTAAGGGTTCTTACTTTTCCAGGACGGCTGCAACACCATGCTTCACGAAATCCACGCACACCTCCACCCACGGGGGCTTTGTGGTGTTATTGATGATGGCTGCGCGCAGCGAGGCAGCATCATTCAGTTCGGCCCATGCATGTTGGCGCGCAAAAATGAATAGGGCAACCAGGCACAACGCCCAGACGTCTGCAGCCGTGTCAATCCACGGGTAGGGCGATGCCAAGAGCACTGGCGCCTTATATCGCAGAGATGATGATCTGGAGGTCTCCACGTACCAATGCTCGTCGGCGCTGGCTGCAAACTGGCGTTGCCAATCTGATCACATGTATGGAAAAGCCGCCCACAGTTTAATTGAGTGAAAGCATACGTGAACATCCCTTAGCCTATCATCGTACAGCACTTGCCTTCAAAACTTCCAACCCAGGAAAAAGCACGCGCCTGCACAGCTAAGGAACGTCAGCCACAACAGAGGAACCAAAGTCGCACAGCTTGATTGAATAGTCTCCCGCGTCAACCAAGCACTATTCTGGCCGAATGTCGCAATGCAAGACCTGATTTGCGTTTGCGTGAAATCTGCAATGTACTAACGGAGGACTGCAGCACTGGAACTTGACCAAGAGGCCTTCGCGGAGTGAATGTGTGCAAGACCGCTTGCAAGGGAAACGGCGGTCTTGCGCAGGTCCAACTCGGGATACCATCCCTGTACCAAGGCGCCCAAGTCCCTGCCCAGGGCTTCTAATACCTTGGACGAAATCCTAACCTTTCTCTTTCTGCATTGGCTGCAGGCGCATACCCCCCAAATCGTTGGCTTGAAACACCTGCCACGTGACCCTCCCCGACTGTCTCCATTGCATTCCATCCCGGACTTCATGTCTTTCTGGCGTGTTCTGTCTGCAGCACGCAGGAGGACAAATCCGCAGGAGGCCCGTTCGATTCAACGGCCTACCTCACTACTGCTCAAAGCCGCGGGCAGGAGAGCACCGTCTGCTGCCAAAGCTGGCAACAAGGCTGAGTCCTGCAGGTCTCCTGCACAAGGGAGTCCAAAGAAGATCCTGGCTTCCTGCCAGTACTTGGCCCAGGGAGGCTCCAGTAGTCCCAGAGCTGGGGCCAACGAGAGGCAAGAGACGGTTGCTGCAAGAAGCTGCTCTTGCCTGCTTTGGGTTGAGAACCTGACACTCTACAAACCCTGCGCGGTGATCCTTGGCCGTGTCGAACTCAATGTCCTGCGCTCGAACGGTGTAGCTGTTCCGAGCCGTGCCGCACAAGCTGAAACACATGCTTCCTGCCAGCAAAATCTCATAGGAAAGAGGTTTCTGCGCCTGCCAAGAACTCAAAGAATTTTGCCTGTTTGACTGACAGAGGAGGAGCAGGTTTGGGCGGCCTACGGGCCTTCAACTGCAGGTGAGCCAGGCCTGTCACTCAGCCAAGTTGACACTGAGGCCAAGAGTTTTTGAAGTGCAGCCCAAGGCCCCAAGCAAGCTGTCTGCAGTAGAGGTTGCGGCGCTCTGTTCTGTGAGCTCCTGCAAGTGTAAGTAAAGCAGAGGCTTGCTGAGACAGTCCTGCGGGAACTTGTAGCTACACCAAAGCAGAAACTTCTTGAGGCTAAAGGCCCGGACCAGCAAAGTGTTGGTGGCCGTCTTGCAGAAAACAACCTCCAGGTTCTGTAGGTCTTTCCTGACGTCACTGTCAAGAACCTGAGAGGCTGCCTGTCTAAAAGTTTTAGACCAAATCTTA